CTACAATGCTAATCTAAGTTGAAGCCAGCTCTACAAAACGGTACCTGAAGCAAGGCAAAAGACTTCTTGGGAAGAGAGATATTAACGATCAAACAGTGCATACATACTTTTGGGACACGCTGTATACAGAGTGTCCCAAAAGTAAGTACACACTTTTCAATGGTTAATATCTCTCTTTCCATTGCGTCTTTTTCGGCTTTTTGAGTATCATTCTGTAGAAAAGACTTCAACGGGAAGGAAGGTTGGTCAAAGTGGCTTTTTAAAATGAGGTGTATATTGCCTTGTAGAGCTTGGAACGCTGATTCCAAATCTTCCTTCGCTATCTGCTGCGGCCTTCTGGGCGACGAGTTATGAAGGTTTTTGTGAGTAAAAATCTAAATGCAAAAATAGGGTAAAATCAATCGTAACCTTTTCCCAATATTCAGATGAGGCAGCAGCGAAGTGGTATACTTGAATCAAGATTATTTGTTGCACCGAGTGACCCCGACTACCAATTAAGCACTATAAAAAATGTTACGACTGATTTTAGCCTACTCTTGCATTCAGATTTTTGATCACAAAAACCTTCATAACTCGTCGCCCGGAAGCCAGCAGCTGATAACAAAAGTAGATTTGGAATCAGCGTTCCAAGCTCTACAAGACAGTATACATCCCATTTCGAAAGGCCACTTCGACCAATCTTCCTTTCCTTGTTAGTACTTAAGTATTGAGCGAATCATCAATCATTCTTCATTACTGTAGGATTACTGTAGGAAATTCTACAAGGATTTTAGGCTATTGAAAGCCATATTCTATCTCGGAACAAAACCAAACAAGCCAAAAACTCCTACACCATGCTAATGGAGCCGCTGATTTCAAATATGAAGTTTCCACTTTACTGTGACCCTTCTTTCAGTTATCTCAGGTAAACCATAGTAACCGAATTCCCAGCATTTGTTAGAAATGTGATTGCACCGTCAAAAAAGCTGAAAACACTCGTAAAAAGTTATATGGTGGAAATTGTGTACTAGGGTTGTGGCGTGCGCCACAACCCTAGTACACAATTTTCGGATTTTTTGAAAAAATTTTGTCAGATGGCATATTTCTCAATGATTCCACATGCTCGAAGTTCCTACCGTATTCCCAAAGTAACGAAGGGAGATCGGTGATTCGATCGATAATGTAAATCTAAGTTGAAGCCTCCTCTACATAATGGTACTTGACTGGCAAAAAAGACCCATTGGGAAGAGAGATATTAGCGATTGAAAAGTGTGTACTTACTTTTGGGACACCCTGTATACGCAACCTATTTTTTGGCGCCGTTTCCGTAAAGTAGTACACTTTTGATCACTGGGCCTAAGTCCGTGACTTGCACATTTACTTGCCAAACATTAGCTCTTTTTGTACTGAATACAAAGTAATCATCTATCAAGACCTTATAATAACGGGCTAAGGGTTGTTTACGTGTTTTTGTGTGTGTGTGTGTCCGTCTGTTACGAAATTCGTAGAGCGTGTTCCAGCCAGCGTTTTAAGCCCAAATTTTGCATAGCGCATGCTACCTTCATGAAAGTTCAGCGTGCAAAAGCACGAATAGATTCGTTGAATGGGTCCCTCAGAAATTGCGCGCCAAACGGATCCACCTGGCTTCTGTCCCGCAAAATTGGGTCCATATCACCACTTTTTGCAAAGTCCTGGATGTGTTTGGTAAGCAAATGTGCAAGCGATGGACTTTAGCCCAAAATGTGGTCAAAAGTTTGCTACATAACGAAAACGGCGCCAGAAAGAGTTGGTTGCGTAAATGGTTAATTTGCTAAGGTTCTAGCTAAGCGTTTCAAAAGATTTTCGCACGGAGATGTAGCTCACGGTTACTATTGCCTTTAAGGGGACTACCAAGCCATGACAACTTCAAAAACCTATTCAAATTTGCGTTTGTCTTCCTACGAAAAGTTTCATCCACGCGAAATCACCGATCTCACGTGAAAAAACTTTCTGAATGAGTAGCTGTTTACATTTAATTCGTGGTAGTCGGCATAGTGCGGTAAGTTCCATTGCCACGATTTTACGAGAATGAGTAAGGCACATAGATAGTAGAGCCAGTGCGAGCCTCTGCGAAGCAGAGGTGACGCACTGGTATATATATAAAACTCAAAATTGTGAGTTTGGAGGTTATGTGCATTAGAGAAACGCGCGCCGCTCAACCGATTCAGCTGAAACTTTGCACACATACGTTTTCGAGCCCTGCACAGATGATAGGCTATTTTTTGCGTCGATTTGTTGGGTCCTTCTATAGATTTATTGATTTGTTTACGTTTTTCTAAGTTGGAGGCTTATCATATTTAATCAACCATTTTCCCATATTCAAGCAAAGGAGGGCGGTGAAGCTCATTTTTACCCCAGGATTGTGAGGATATGGTTTCGAAGCGGATGTCTCAGAGTAAGTCATCCATCACATACAAGAGAGGGGGGGGCTCGCAGGCAATGACGGTATTCATCAACGAACTAAATGGGTTCCGCAACCGTGATTTCGCGAACCCACAGGCTGGGATCGATACTCATCGTAAGCACTGCTACGTTCGCTAACCCACTAGCTTTGAATATTTCGTGGGTTGAGCCTGCCCAGTGGGCTCCGGAACCCACTGGGTCCGTTGATAAATACGACCACAGGTGAACAATGGCACGGGCTGGACCGGGAAAGCCTACTAGTACACCCTATTTACCCATACCATATCCTGCTTCAAATAACTATCGAACTATGGAATTAGAAGCAGGCCAAAATCTCGTCTGTCCCATTTTTCATGGCAGCACTTTTATTAGCTTCTACTCAGAGCGAACAAGATGAATAAGGCCTAAATTACTCCTATGAAAACACAAGACTCAGGCTATCAAACTATATATTAGGTGGGTGCAAAGTTTCGTCAGTTTTTTCAATCCACCGCCAAGCACGATAGAATGGCGATAAACAAACATTTTAAAAAGTATCCGATGCAGGGTTTCTTCCTCTTTCCAGCTGCTAAACTTTCATTGTGTGTCGTTGAGAAAGTGATGAGATATTTGCTGGAAATTACAACCACTCGTTTTTATCATGTCCAACTTTCGCTAATTTTCAAGAATTTTATATGAGATTTTCGGAGGAGCCCTAATAACCAGTAGGGCAAACCTTTTGCCAACCGACGCAATCTTTTGTGGCCCTGTGGCTTGTCTTTCAGAATTTCTACAATTTATTTTTTGAGGTGACCAAATTTTACATTCAGATTACTTTAACCTCGTAGAACACAAAATGTTAAACACTTCAGTCACCATTCGATGCAAATTTTTTCCTCTTTCTAACACTTGTCTTTTCTTGGCGAGACAGGTGAAATTCGTGGGGGAAAATCGCAGTATTTCTCAATTTCAGGAGTGCGCACTGACGCAACCTGTGTCTCAAAATCTTCGTGTTTTGAGGCGAAAATCGCTCATTTACTTTGTAATGGTAGCGGTAGTAATAATCGATTGTTGAAACCTCAGTATTCTGTAGTTTCTGCAGTGTTTGGTGCAACAACAGGTTACGCAATTTTTCCAAAACATAGGACTTTTGAATAATTATTTGGCAAAATTCTGAAAAAGCAGCTAAAAAAAGCAGAAAGTTGCATAAGTTCGCAAAAGGTTTGCCCTATCTGGTGGTTGTTAGAACCCCTCCGAAAGCCTCATACAAAAATTTTGGTAATTAGTGAAAGTTGGACATGGTAAAAACGATATCTCATCATTCTCGCAACAAAACACAACGGAAGTTTAGCAGCTGGAAAGAGGAAGAAATTCTGCATCGGAAACTTTTCAAAATGTTTGTTTATCTTCATTCTATCGTGTTTGCCAACAAGTCAATTTCATGATTTTGTGTAAACATAGCAGTGGAGTTCATTCGATTCTCGCGGTAGGAAGGACACTGTGATTCAAGACAAGGCTACAGCAGGTGAGTTACTTTGATACAGGATTCCCCCCCCCCCCCCTTCCCCTTACAGTGCGGCATAATGGCTGGGTAGTAAGGCTAGGCGGGGGGGGGGGGGTGGGAAGGATCAGCTGACGTGACCCGTTCTAGACCGGGAAAACCAGCTAGTACATATATATATTCGCTGAACCTCTTTTGGAGGTAAGTTAATGGGGTGTAGCACAACCCCAGAAAAGCTGTGGCTGCCACAGCTTTTTAGGGGTTGCCTTCAAAGCATTCAAATCTCTGTCTTTTTTATATGGTTGCTACAACCTTCTTCTCCACACAACAGCAATTACATGCAAAATTGTTTCTCCTAGGGAAAGATATAGTCCTTTTTCATTAGTTATGCAAATGGAAAACAGTGCGAAAATATTGGACTACGGTAATATGCTAAGTCTGCGCTACTACGTGAATCGCGAGAGAAGGCGGCAAGAACAAGCAAATTCGATAGCCTGATCCCCTTGACTTTCACAAAAGTGATGTGGTCTTTATAGTCTGAGAAATTGAAAGCGAAAGATGGGACAAACGAGTTTTGGCTTGCACTTAATTCTAGAGTTTAGAGTTTAGTTGAAGTGGGATTCCTCATACGATATCAAAGAAGTAGTAGTACCTTCCAGTGAGTGCGAAAAGTAGTGGTTTACTTACCTTCAAAAAAAAAGATAACATGTTCGATGACCACCTTACTTAAGTATCTCAGTATCTGAAAACGTCAAAGTTCGCTTTAACTTGGCCCACAGGGGTTATTCGACATGCTAATTACGAGAATGGCGCTTTTATGCTTTTAGGATTCTTTTAATATGCTTACCGTGCGTGTACGACGGTAGGTTAAAACATCAGTGCTGATATTTTGTACAATGGGCCTATCAGCCATTGTTGAATGACATACCGCTAACAACACTATCACCTCCATAACGACCCCCCTTCTTCCCGAACCCTCTACGACCCCAGGTGTGGCGTGCCACACCTCACGCTTGACTCTGCAGACAACTAAAAGAGGAAGAGCGAATTACAAGTACTTGGTTTTGATTCTCATGGATGTGACTGACGAAAAAGTTACCGTCAGCGTTCCTACAAATATGTCTTCCTGCTCAACGTATGCCGATACGCTAGTAATAGTGCTTCCGATTCTTTGTCCATTTACCAAGACATCGCCTTCAACGATAAGTCCATGAAGATTGCGATGAAGTAATGCGTTCAAAAAGACTGTTTTACCAGAAGCGCTGAAATTACGACATCAACCTAACTCAGTCGCATGCTCTAATTACTTACCTGGCCCCCATAACGGCTACTACTTCACCGGGTAGTGCAACTCCACTTATGCCTTTTAAAATCTGGCGTCCGCTTGTACTTCGTACTTTGATGTCTTCCCATACTACGGTGATGCGTTCCCTTTTTGTTATCCGTTGTGCTGCCGGCTTCAGTGGTGTAGCCGATTCCATCGTCATGCCTTCTTTATGTAAGCAATGCTAGAAAATGGGAGTGACTGCAAAGCAGATTGAATTTACTGTCTTTTGCAGCTTTATTTGCAAATGATGTCACACTCAAGCAGCATGCTTCTTATTAATCAAAAGCAGTACTGTTGAGTGGCTGCATCAAGTGATCCTCAATCTAAGTGGCCTTTCCAGTATCATATTTGCGATAAGGTGAGATAGACTCCTCCAGGGTGAAGGGGGTCACAGTGGTCGCAGCCCCACCAGGATGAAGGGTGTTTCACTTGAAAAATGCGCGCAGAATTGATGTCTGCTGCGTAACGTTTCCTGCTGCTAAGGTATTCGCCAGATTAAGTGAATATTTTGTTCAGCTGCAAAAGGCGCACAGAATCAACGCTTACGTTTTATTCTGCGCGGGACCTGCAGCTGAAGCGGGCCTCAGCAGCAGCAGGCATTAATTCTGCGCGACTTTTGCAGCTGAACAAAATAGTGGTTAGTCTGGCGCCTACCATCGATGAATTGTAAAATGTCGACGAAGGGGAGGGGGGGGGAGTGATCGTGTTCTCTCATCATTCTTCCTAATCAACGTTTTATCATTTTCAATCCTCTACCATCATACGCTGTCTTTTTTGTGCAGATCGAAGTAGGATTGGGAACATTTTGTCTGTTTTCGAAAATACTATAGAGCAGAGGATGTGTATGCCAGAACATCTGTTTCGAGAAAGAGGTAAACAATTTTTGAAATCACTAATTTTTGAAAGAAAAAAACAATTTCTGTAGATGAACAGCAACGTCAGCAAGGAAGTTGTTTCCAGAACCATCTTTTCTTCCGCTTTCAAAAATTATATAGTTTGTCTGGGAGTTTGTCCGGAGTCATTTCAAAAAAGTGCCTGGCGAAGCTTGTGAGTGGTGATTTCCAAATATTTAAAAACTTTCAAATAAAAATTCCATAACTTCTGTAGATAAAGATCTTACTCGTCGAGATGCTTAACATCGAAAGCGCCTTGTCCTCCGCTAATGTATAGTTTGCCAGGAGTCTTTGATAAAAGTGCCTGGTGAAGGGTGTGGGTAGCGATTTCTGGATATTTACGACTTCTAAGGATAAAAAAATTCATAACTTTTGTAAATGAACAACTTGTACAAGGAAATAGTCAACGTTGGAACCGCTGTGGGTGAGACTCTTATAACAGTTCTCAGGTGGAGGCTTTTTAACCATTGTAAAAGAGCGTCTATTTGAAAACTCTCATTATAAGAGTCTCACCCACCCTTCACCCGGCACTTTTTTCAACGGACCCTAAGCAAGCTATATATTCTCTAAAAGCGGAGGACGAGGCGGTTCCAACGGTGACCATCTAGACCTACAAAATATTCATCAACAAAAGTTATGAATTTTTTTATGTTAAAAACTCAAAATCCCCAGAAATTACTAGGCACACCCTTCACCAGGCATTTTTTTTGAGCGGATCCCAGACATGCTATATATTTTCTGAAAATGGAGGACGAGGCGGTTTCGATGGTCACTATTTCCTTGTACCAGCTATTCATGCACAAAATTTATGAATTTTTTATGTTGGAGATTCGTAAGTGCCCAGAAATCACTAGGCACACCTCTCACTGAATATCTTTATGAACGAACTCTAGGCAAACTCTTTGCTTCCTGAAATCAGAGGCGAACATTGTACCACGTAATTTTACGTAGTTTTTCTCGCTGGTTGCTGTACAGCTACAGAAGCTACTATTTTTTTCCTCCTGGAAGTTCGTGAATGCCTATAAATCTTCTTCCTCCTTTCCGATACACAAACAATTTCCGCACAAAGATTTCCTTTGCAACCTTACCTCACTGTTAATTTTTTTCCTCGGCTTTTAATGAGGGGCTCACCTTGGTCCCGGTTCAGGGGAGAAGAGGGGGTGAGCAAATTCTCACACTATCGATCTATGAGGCACGTAACATGTTAAGATAAGCATGAACTACCAATTTTTTCCGGAGCTTCGCCCGGACCCCGCAAAAAACGATATCTCCTTTGCTTTTTCACCCAAAACGATTTCCAGCCTATCATTTGCGCACCTCGTGCCGGGCCCTGCTCGGGGTTGAAATTGTTTTAATGCTCAATTTTCGCTAGCCAATTTTTCGACAAAAGCTAGGATCTATTCCACAGACGTCCAATTTTCGCTCCCTCTGGGTTGGAAATCGATTAAATGCTGCGAACTCTACTTCTCCTTGGAACTTTGAATGTTCAGTTTTTCGCTAGAAGGGGTTTTTTTTTTGAAAAGCCTATTCTCAAAGGCGTGTTCAATGGATTTTCTTGCAATTTGGGTGGAAAAGGGAGATGAACTTTACAAAACTTCCCAACTTACCAAAAACTTTCCAAACTTTACTCCAGAAATTCGAACTTAAGCGCACCTCGCAACTGATTGCATAGTTTTTCGCTAGAAAGTCAAATCTTTTGGCAAAAGTGAGTCTCTAGTACATAGACGCCGATTCCCCCCCCCCCTTCCTCCCTCCCGGACCAAAATTTATTGAGTGTCAGTTTTGGTTATAAAAAATAGATTTTTTAGCAAACTTGTTCAAATGTGTCTTTTAGATTTTCTTAGAATCTGGGCGGAAAAGATATGAACCGAGACTCTAATCAACAGAACTTCGAATTTTCACTCCTCGGGACCGAAAAATGCTCTGTTTTTCGCTAGAATGTCAAATTTTTCGGCAAAAATGGATCTCTAGTCTACCATCGAATTTTCCTCTCGAGACCAACATTACTCAATGCTCAGTTTTTGGCTAACAAAAGTAGATTTTTGGGCAAACCTGGAATGATATCCACGAAAGTCCCCGCGAAATGGGCTTTTCGTGCGAATAAAATGGACTTAGTCCATGCGGTGCGATAAGATATCGCATTCGCGAATCCATTCATCCCATACAAAATTTCTTCAGCAGACCTTTTTCCAACTTGCCTTAACCTGCTTACTCACTCTTGCAAAGTCATTTCCACCAAGTGGTCGATATCTGACTAGGCTGACCTAACATTACTATGACAATCACGTGGATTTTCTGATCTTTCCCACTTTGTTGCACCTCACAAAATACATTTACTTCGATGACTATGCATCTAAATCACCTCCAAGAAAAAAATTCCTATAATATCCGGGCCTTCGCTTCTCGAGACTTCTATGGATCTGCATTGAATCAAATTCGTATGTAGAGCTCTCTGCGGAAAAAGCAAAATTTGGCTAGACTTACACTGCAATCTGGGAATCAAAATGCTTATGTTACACGAAACCTTGCACTACACTGCCTCCCAAAAAGTTTCTTAAGTTGGAAAAACTACGAGTCTGCAAGACATGACTTCGCAAATTTACTTCAACTCTCTTTTGTCTCTCAGCACTAATGTTCATATCTCTAAGTAGTTAAATGTATGGACTATTGAGTAGGATATTTTTCACCCATTTTCCTTGCTAGCTAGCGCCGTTTCAGTAATTCTTGACTCATAAACTCAAAATCGCGTCTGAAATGCCGTCTTTGAGGTTCGGTTCTGCAAGATTAGTCAAAAGATAGCTTGAAGATAGCTTAGTAAATATATTGAAACGGAAACTTTTTTCTTTGAAATACAAATTATGAATTCAGCATTGGTTGATGATTTGAAGAGTTAATAGACATCATTTTATTTACACAGGAATTTTCGCATCGACTTGATATTTGAAATTATTTGAGTTTGCCAGCGAATATTTTGGTGAGTTTAACCTTCTTCCATGATTTTTATCGCGTTTGTATGAGTTTAGAAAGAAACACTTATTTCAGAATTCATAAAGGATAGGAAATTTTTTCCACTCACTTGTTACCTTAGAATGAGCTGAAGAACACATTCTCAAAAAATCGCCATTAAAAATATGCAAAAAGGTCAGAAATGGGCTTAGTCCCAGCTCACCTTGCTGCTGGGAGTAAAATGGGCTTTCAAGTCCATTTAAAATGGAGGTAAATCCCATTTTGCCACATTCTGAATGGACTTTTGACGTCATCTTTCGCAAGCGAGAGCTCAGGTAAGGTTGAATCATTTTCATTTCACCGCTTTGCCTCGTGGTTGCGACAGGATGAAAATTTTTGGATAACGCGAGCGAAAGCAGATTCCGACCACTCTTCACCGCGAACGAATAAAATGGGGTTTGAATGTCCATTTTCCTCTATTATGGACTTTCGTGGATATCATTCCTGGACTTCCTTAAAACTTGGGCGGGAAAGTGGATGAACTGAGGCTCTACTCTAAGCACTTCGAATTTTTTCCACACCCTTGGGACCAAAATTGATTTCATGCTCAATTTTTCGCTAGAAAGTCAAATTTCTTGGCAAAAGTGAGGGTTCGCTCCACAGACGTCGAATTTTAGCTCCACTGAGGACCAAAACTGATTGAGTGCTCACGAATGACAGTTCTTCAGTTCTTCATTTAAAAAGTCAAGTTTCCTTAGCAAACTTACTCTCACAATCAGGTTTGCTGGATTTTCATGAAATTTGGCGAGAAAAAAATATTTTCAAATTAAGGCTCTACTCCACAGAACTTCGATTCCTACCGCCCCTCAGGACCAAAATTGACTGAATACTCAGATTTGTTCGATTTCAATTTTTTTGACTCTCAAATTTGATTTTTCAAGAAAGCCAATTCCTCGAAACCAAATGATTGAATGATTAGATTTTTGCCTGAAAAATCAATCTTTTCAGCAAAGCTACGCTCAAAGGCAGGTCTGATGGTTCTGCTGGAATTCATTGAGAAAAGAAAGATGTATTTTATCAAAAAAGGCTGTGCTCCACTACGTCAAACTTTACAACCCCCTCGAGACCGAAGATGTACTTTGGAAAAATTGATTTTTGCAATGCATTCGTTTACCAAAAGACATTTTGAATATGAAATTTAAGAATAATTCAAAAGAGTGATAAATAATGTTTGCACGATGATGCCGAGGTAAAATTACAACATAATAGTCTGCATCCGACGAATCCCACGTACAGAGGTCTCTGAGACAATGATAATCATCATCTAAGT